TCATAAAAAATGTAATTCGTTGTAGTGCATATTCTCAAAATTCTTATTATTAGGAATAATATTCCTATTTCTACACATTTCAATTAATTTAAAAATTATAAAAATTAAAAAATGAATATGAATACTAGTGTGAAGTTATAGTTAGTTAATTTTATTTCCATAAAAAAACTTGGATTTCTACCCAGAAATAAGAATAAATATGAAGAAAAAAATCATTTGTAAAATAATTTTTGAGAATAAAAAATATCAAGGAACAATTTTAAAAAATTTGAAACAAATATATTATTGTATTTCTCATTTCACATTTTTAAAAATATATATTGTATCCGTGAAATAAATACATCCTAAGAAGTCTAACAATAACAATATTAACAATATGATAGTTATAATCAACATACAATACTGAACCATGTTGCTTTTTGGAATCGAAGGACAATAATTCGGAAGGGAACAAAGATGAGAGACCAGTTATGCCTTCATTATCACTATTAACTGTTACTGGGGCAATGATTGAATAGATAAACGATTGGACCTAGATTTTATAAAAACATAAAGAAGAACTCATAATCTTATCTTAAAGGAGAGGGTAGCATTTTGCATGAAATGATGCAAATAGCATCTTTCGTTCTATATTATTACTAGTACCAAAAATTAGGTTTTCAGCTTCCTATATATATATGTTGTTGTTTTTGTCCTTGTCTTCCATAAATGCTTGCGTGCATTTGAAGACATCAATGGCAGCGATGCTGAATGTGATATATGTTTTTGACTTATTATTGATGATTAATGTATCAGCTTATAAAACATGTGATGATATTTAGTTCTAAATAGAGACAAAAACATGACCTTTCATTGCCCAGCCAAAGAAAGGAAAAAGACAGTTAACGAGAACTAATTTGAGTGATAGATGGTAATTGACTACGACAACATACGTAACTTTTATCTAAATCTTAATCAGAACCTTCAAGATCCACTCTTTGTGGTACATGTTTGAGACCCTAGCTATCCAAAATTTGAGTCATGGTTTACCACATATTATGAAAGTTTATTAATCTCTTTAGTTAGATCCAATATTTGCGACATAATTTTTAGTTAGACAATATTTGGGAAAAAATCTTTTGTTAGGCCAATGTATGTATCACTGCTCTTGGGATAGTGTTCATTATTTAATGTATAGACAAAATAGAAAACATAATCTCTGACTAGATACATCATCACAACACATATATGATTCTTATTGTCCTTGCTAAAGGTATAGAATAGGGTTCCACTCCCAATCCAAATGGCCTACCATGAACTAGTGGTTCCTGGCCTCCATATACGCACTAAGCAACTTGCATTAGAGATGGCCATGGCCTCATATTGATGAAACTAGTTTTGGATAGTTCTAACTCACATGCAACCAATCATTTGTGGGACAAATCCAGTTATCTATTAAAATTAAATATATTTTAATCCTTTAAAATATAATGGAGATCTTAGCATGAATTAATTTTGAAATATATTTTAATGCTATGTTTTTTTTTTTATATTCATTTATTTTAAAATAAATATTATTTACACTTTGTATTGATTAAAAAGTATAATGTGTGTTCCTCTGTAAGGGAGGGAGGTCTCAGAGGCCTTTGTACGTATATTATGTTGTATGATGGTTAGGGCTTCCCCACGACGGTGAGAAGCCATGTACAATGGTGTTTTATGGTGGTTTTTAAGGGTTCTTTTGACGGACAATGTGCTTAGGTATAAGCTTCTAAGGGGTGTGATCATATATGTGATGATCTTTCTAAGCGTTATGTTTTAGGGTATAATGAATTGTAAGGCTTAAGACTCGTCCCCCCTTTCTATGGGGGAGGAGTACTTTATAGAGGTTCTTAAGGCCTGGGGTTTGGGTAACCCGTATGGTGGCAACCGTCCCCCTAATCTGAAGATGTTATTGACCACTTATGTTTCAAGAGTAGTGGAGGATTCCCTATCCTTTGACTGACATCCTTACACGCCGTCGATACCCCTGAGAGATTCTTCAAGATATCGCATGGTCGATATAGCTTTAGGGCGTGGGCGCCCTGGTTTAGGACATTCATAAATATAACGCTACATAGTCCCTCAAGTATGAGGGTTTTCCTAAGGACAAAGTGTTTTTAAGCCCTTTTTTTTTATTCGAAGTGTGCCCCTCGCCCTAAAAGGTATTCCTTGTGCCAGCGGTGCCGTTATACAAAAAGTTGGCAAGTCCCTCAGCTAAGGGTAAGTCCCTCAGCTTGGGGCGAGTCCCTCACCTAGAGGCAAATATATCTATAGACGAGTCTCTCGACTTGGAGTGAGTCCCCCAGACGGAGGTGGTTCTCCTTTTAGAGAATAGACTAAAGGGATTCACCCTACTTTAGGTTAGACTCCTAAGATGTCAAAACGTCAATCACTATTGAAAACTTGAGTGTTTTGGAGGGAAACAGATGATGGAGGGAACTTAATGCACCTTATGATGGTGTTTCTAGGAAGAATCAATGTTCTCTATTTATTACACGCGTCTTCCAGGTGTAAGGGCTTTCATACTTCTTGTGGCAGTTACACCATTGGGTTTACCCTATATTATATTGGAAACCCCTTTTTCTTCTTTCTTTTTCTAGAAATGCACCAGGTGAAAACTTCTTTTTCTCCACTCTTCTACTCCAAGCGATCATGTGAAAGAAAAATAAGCTTATTCATGTTCGAGATATTGTATCCCTATACTATACTGTAGACATTGTTAGACTTGAGACTTCACACACAAGAGATAGGGGGAGTGAATTGTGTGGTTTTGAAAAAAAAGTGATTTCGAAAAACTTTAGGAAGTAAAATCAGAGTTAATTTTTTTTAATAATTAGCAGCGGAAAAGATAATTTTCAGAAAATAAATAGTAGAAAAATAAAGAGTGAAATATATGAACACCATGATGTATAGAGGTTCGGTAAATCAAGAAAAGAACCTACTCCTCTTCCCAAGAATTGATTTGAGAGTATACAATAAACATTGAGAGTTTTTAGTAGGAAAGACTCACGAACCTCCTTATATAAGGAAACATGGTTAACCTCCAACCAAATAAGATAAGACTTCAAAATATAATGTTTGAGTCTTCTCTTCCAAGTAGAAGATTGAAGCGATTAATCTTCTCTCCATACAGTAGATTGAAGTGGTTAGTCTTCTCTCCATAAAAAGAACCTTGGAGTGGTTAGTCTTTAAGTTCTTAAACCTTGCAAGCTTTTACAAGGTCTAAGCTTATGAACCTTAAACCTTGGTTTTAGATGGGATAATCAATAACCTATGAAATTTTAATACCAGGCTAATCTCGAACCTTATCCAAGATTTTACATCAGACTAAGCTTTAACCTAATCTTGGTTTTATACCGGGATGACCAAGAACCTATGAGATTTTAATAAGCTCTAATCTCGAACCTAAACTAGGGTTTGATCAAACAAACCCCAATCCAAAGCTTTTAACGGGTTTAGATTCTAACCCAAATAAAATTCCCTAAATAGATAATATTCAACCAAGGTATATAACAATCCCTTGGTGAATTTTATAATTCTACCCTTAAAGAATTACAACTTATGCTCACTCACAAAAGGACATTCTTGCATAAGCACTTCGACTATAATTTTAGTGAGAGAAAGTAAACAAAAGTTTAGAAAGAGAGACCGAGTGAGAGAGACTTGTGCCAAAACACGATTCTGTATGAAATGAAATGAGGGAAGGGACTTCTACTTATAGGCTAGAGGTTGGCTCAAAAAGGAATTTCAAATAAATGCATTTTATGACAATCTAATCGATTGACACTTATTTATAATTGATTAGAAGTTTGAAATATAATCGATTATAAGTTTAAAAAAGGAAGGGAAAGATATCTAGCCGTTGCACATCATTAAGGCGATGTCCTAATCGCTTGGGACTCAATTTTCAACTGAGTTAATCGATTAGACAAAAGTGATAATTGATTAGATAAGTCAAAAATTTTCCTATAACTATTTTAACAACTCCTATTTCACCTGTCACAAGTTCAAGATATTTTTATTGAAAAAAATAGATAGAAAAAGTGTTTCAGTATGTGTGTGGTTTATCCACACACTTTTACAATAAAGTCCTTATGCTTTTCAATTTTTTCACTCACTACTAATTTAGGAGGGCTCCTTATTACTTCAAGAATTTGTCAGATGATTTCTCTTTTATAGACATTTTCTTGAGTAGCTTTGAGATGAGGCTTTAGTTCCATTCCATTTGATTTCCATCATTGGATAGTCAAATCTATCAAACCCTAATGATTTAGGTTTGCATCATTATCCTCTTAACTATTTATGCTTGACTTGTTAGTAGACATTAGTTATCATCATCAAAAATTAATTTCCTTGTTAAAGCACATCACCTGCAAAACAAAGTTCTACATTCTCCCCATTTTTTAATGATGACAACTCATCTCTTAGGAGAGGTGGTAAATGAAAACTATATATATATATATATATATATATATATATATATATATATATATATATATATATATATATATATATATATATATATATATATATATATATATATATATATATATATATATATATATATATATATATATATATATATATATATATATATATATATATATATATATATATATATATATATATATATATATATATATATAGACACACACACACACACACACGTTTGGAGTAATTAAACTCCCCCTGAGTTAAATAGAGAGTATAATTTACTCCTCATGAGAGTATACTTCTCCCCCTTTGTCAAAATAAAAAACGCGGGTAAAGATGCATTGTGAAAGATAAATATGCAAACAAGGGAAATTTATATATTTATAGAAGGAAAACACTAATTACTAAGACATTCAAATTAAAAAAAGGGAAATTTGCGGAATTTAAAAGTACACGAAGGGAAAATATTGAATTTAAGGTTTGAAAAAATAAAATAAAATTAGGTGATCTTATTATGTATCAATATCATCATAGAAGAATAGACCATGTGGTGGTTGGGTTTGGTCAGGGATGAAGTGGTGTGCTATGAAGTCGATGTTATCATTGGTTACATCTATTTCCCCACTTATGATTTTGAGGATGTCTTTGATGGTAAGAAGTTAAAGAAAGGAATTGTCAGAGCTTTTTATCTCTATAGGTATTTTCTGACTTTTAGTTTTCCTCTTCTTCTCATTTGATTGGGCCTTTCCAGTGATCCTTCCATTTATCAGCTCGAACTTCATGGATGGTAAGATAGAGATTCCTATTATGGTTGTTTCTTCCTTGAACTCTTCGTCTCCAAAATCACATCATGTTTCTTCCAAAAAAATTGTGACTAGATTTCTATATGGAAGGTATGCATCTTCTTTCTTGCTTTGTAACATGTAGCAGATTACTTGGTGTGCCCAATTTACCTTGAATTTTTTTCTATCAACCATATTGTTTCTACATTTACTTGGGTTAAGAGACTGAAGTTTCCCCTTCTAGGAAATAGGATGTGATTGATTAGATAATGAACCATTCAAGTATCAAGGTAGATGTATCCATCAGTGAATAGGTAAGGTATGTATGATGAAAGTTCTTCCATAAAAGAGGATGAAGAGATGATGTAGTTATACCTATTACCTTTGTCTTCTAGCTCAATGATTCTATCTTCATGATGAATATCAAACATCTCTCTAAATTCTTTATCAAAATATTTATTCTATGATTTCTCAATTTGCTTTGAAGTATTCCATCAGTGAGCTGAATGTTTAAGAAGAACATCTTCACAAGAGATGTATAGATTATTTTTGAAGGTGTACATAGATAAGTAGAGAGTATGGGTTCTTCAAAGGTTTTTAAGAACTTATATTCTTGAAATCTTAAGGTTCTAGGGTATGAATTCTTAGAAGAGATCGGTTGGCAAAGTGTTGAAAGAAACCTACTTCTTTTTGTTTGGCGGTGAAGTCATTAGTAAGGGGGCTGGAGGAAAAGCTCAATATTTTTTATTCATGATGATTTTTCTAGAATAATCTCACAATCACAAGTTCGAATGGAAAATATGCAATGAAAAGGAGTGAGAAAGGAATTTCCTATTTATAGTGTGCGATATGAGGATTTGATCGTGTATTTCTACAAGAATTTGAAGCAGATTATGCTGGTCGAAAATCAAATCAAAATATTTCCTATTTGAGTCTCCAAATCGACTAGCTAAGGGATCCAATTGGTTAGATTTTCAAATTTCCCAAGATTTGTGAAATCTTCATTAATGTTGGGGTTTGATTTGCTTTAGGCACAAGTTAAGCTTGGATTGATCCAAAAATCTTCGTGTCAATATTTTCCAGTCAGTTTTCCATTACGTACTAACCAATTGGGCTTATGTAGCTCAACCTCCTTCGTGCATGTTAGGACTTATGTTAGATTTTTATTTTTTCAGCACCCCCATTTGTCATATTTTCACCCTTTTTCTAGAAAATACTAAAATACTCATCTTATGGGTTAAAAAATAATTTGTTTAGATTAGAAAAATATTAAAATCATTATTTTGAGGGGTTAATCACATTTTCCTAATTATTTTAACCTTACAATAATATATAACTCCTTTATCAAGAATTCTTGATAAATATTTCCCAAAAAGGGAAAACATCAAATACACTATGGTGTATGATTCTTTATACATCGTTGGATGCAAGAGTTGGTAAAAACCATAAAATGAATAAGTCCATTACAAACATATTCATTCAACTGAACAATAAGGATCAAAGCCTTTTAGATATTCTCAAATGTTGTGCTTTGATCACAATGATTTACATTTGCCATCATCGTTCATCCTTGGATCAGAGACTTCATAAGAATTTAATACTCTAGAAGTATACTATTTGTTTTCTAAATTTTATTAATAATCGTCAAAATTCCAAGCTGAAAAGTGTAACACCCTAAACCCCAAACACTTAATTTATAAAAAACATTGGAAATAATTACTCAAAAAAGGGTGTCACATTTTTTCAACATAAAACAACTTTCTCAAACATCATTTTATAGCAACGTAATTAAACTTTAACACATTTTCAATTTGTCTCATAAAAAGAAAATCACTTTATTTAATCATAAAATAGTTAATCAAGTAAACTCAAAAACTCGCAGAAAAAACATAATAAAATAATCCCAACTCAGTATCACACTATCAGAGCGACACAGGGAAACTGAACAACATAAAATGATAAAGCACGAAGAAGGCCAACTATGTAATCCTCCAACATAAGAAACAACTAAGACTCCTTTCCTAAGTATATGTATCACATACAGGCATAAAGACAACACATAGATAATGCAGGGGGTGAGAATACATTAACATATATTAATGGGGCATAAAACAACAAGGATAACACATATCCAACATATTCAGTTAAACAGATGTACAATATACAAAGTCATTATGCAATGTGTATTTCCTCTACTTCCATGCATGTGGTACTATCTTACAACACTAGACAGAAGCTCTACAACACTGGATATTAGAGTTTTGTTGCCTAGGGATCCTCAACACTAGATCAAAGTTCTATCTATCTTCAATATGAATGATGCATGATGCTACAAAAAATGCAAACAATCTCCATCAAAACCTCATACTTCCATTATCAATTATCATTCACCACACTAGACCGAAGTTTTTCTACACTGGAATAAAGTCTTACAATACTGGACCAGAGTCCTATAACATTGGTTCCTCTATGAACCAAAAACTCTGCATGAACATCACCAATATAAGGCCACAACAGTGGTTCCTCTCTGAACCACAATACCAATATAACTCAACAATTTTCCTCTTCATGAGGCACTCAGCACAAAAATCAGCATGATAATACACTTATATAATTACTCAACAATACTCACCAACAGGGTAAAAGAATAACATTACACACAACCATTAATATTTAACAAGTCTACTCAGAACTCAATAGAACTCACAATAACTCTAACACTTTTTATTCAAAATTAAGAGTCACCAGGCATACTCTAACCTTAACTTATTTAACTAACTACTCTAAACATATCGAATTCAACTTTAAAACATTAAATAACTCAAATAAAAGTTATTTATTAATATATTCAATTCCTTAGATTGCTAAAGGGTTTCCCAAAACTCTAGACTTAACTCTAAATTATCTCATTTCACAACAGCACCAAATATTATAGACTCGTGATAAGATTATGAAACTCTCCATTTTAAAATTAATTTAAACCCTCTTTCAAACTCAATTGATTGCGTCTCGACCGGAGTTACAGAACTCCTATACTATTCATTTCAGTTCAACCATATCAGAACATTTCCTGCATAAACTCTAAAACAAAATGTCTAGCTTCACAATAGCACCAAAAATTATAGACTTATGATAAAATTATGAACCTCTACAATTTAAAAGTTCTTTAAACCCCCTTTCAAACACAATCGGTTGCATCTCGATCATAGTTACAAAACTCTAGTTCTATTCGTTTCACTTAAGCCATATCACAATATTTCCTGCATAAACTTTAAATTAGAATGTCTAGCTTCATAATAGCACCAAAAATTACAGACTTCTGATAAAATTATGAAACTCTCAAGTTGAAAATTTATTTAAACCCTCTTTCAAATGCAATTTATTGCATCTCGATCAGAGTTACGAAACTTTAATTATGTATGAAACAATATGACCTACGCATGAATGAAATTTGACTACGCCTCTGGTATAAAAACCAGAGAACTGCAACTGTTGCAGCGCTCCTAGACCCAATTTTCCCACTTCAAAAGAAATATTATTATGTTAGGTTTCTAATGCAACTATCGGTACCTCAAACAGACTTACAAAACTCAAGTTACACATGAAATAAGACGATCAATCCTGTTTTATGTATATCTATGATTTTCCAATTTTCTCCCAATTGAATAGATCCAAAACTCGCCTATTTGAGTCTCAACCATTCTCAAACGCTCAACAAATTTGATCATGAAAACCATCAACATATTTTATCAATTCAACAAGATTTATCAATTACTCCAAAAATAATCAAATCATCAATATTATTAGTACTCAACAATATTCGTCAATCAGATCAACCATCACCTATTGGGGTTAAAACCCCCAGGGTTTGCCTTGAACCCCAACGCCATCAGTATGATCATCAATCCCCTTGACTTTGAGTTTTATAGTAAAAATCTTATTCTATGAGATAACCTTAAAAACTCTCGCCTTATCAAAAGACGTCAACTTAATTATCAAACCAACTCACACCTTATCAAAAGGTATCAACACATGAACACACCAACAAATTTGGCCAAACAACAAATTAGAACTCAACAATCATGAAAACAATATCATATCAATCGCCTTAGAAAGGTTTTACGCAAACCTTTTTCGGCTTCAAACATCCTCAAAGAGTAAAAAAAGGGAAGAAAGCAGGAGGGTGAGGAACCCTCATTATCCATCTTCTTAAACACCCATACATGAATAATTCCCCTCACCCTTTACCCAGAATTAGAAGAAACTTGAAGCTTTAACAATGAAGGTTTCTCTTTTCCCTTTCCAAAAGCTCTCTAAGGGTTTCTCTTCATTTGCATCTTTCTCAACTTTTCACCTAATGACTAATTCACTCCCAAATTCTCTATTTAAATAATTAAATAAAACCTAATTTCTCTTTTATTTTTTTGCACTATTTCCCCTTCATTCACAAATAATTCTACCCACCTCCCTATTTTATTTAAAATATCTATTTATCACCTCAAAACTCATATTCTCACATTTCTATTATTTTTAATTAACTAAAAATAATAATAATTATAAATAAAACCAATAGTCTTAAAAATTCTAATTAAATTAATCACTCTAAATTCAATTAAAAATATTAAATTAATAAAAGTCTAATTAATTCTAATATACCTTAATTACTCACTTCTACACTAAATTTTGATACCGTAAAACTATACCAAAAATCAACCAACTTGAATAATTAACTTAAAAACACTCCAAAAACTCTATTAAAAATAATATATCAAAAATCAGGGTTTTACACAAAGCACATATACAAAACACTATAGTTTCACCTTTGATGTTCATATATTCTTGAGTTCGAGTGTATTAGTCACAAAAGATCTAAGGTGGTTACTTTTAGATCTTTCAATTTATGAAAACAAAAGGTCACTAAGTGTCCTATTCTCTTACAGTGTGTGCACTTATAAACTGGATACTTCTTGTCCTTTTGATCTACACCTTTCCTAGGTTATATATCCCTTTTAAATCCTACTCCATTTCTATTTATGGAGGACCTTTGACTAGATAAAATTAGGCCAAGCTTCTTTTTTCTTTGGATAAATTTCATAGGGTTTCACGTAGATCAATTACTTCGTTTATAAGGGAGTCACAATGCTT